TGATTGTTTGTTTCATTCAGCTCAGTGTTGATAAGGTATTTTAGCTTTTTGTCTGTTTGTTAATTCGGTTTACTTTCCGTTAGTTTCCAGGAAAGATTTCCTTGTTTCGGAAACGTTTTTTAAAAATTATTAGGTATCACAAAATAAAGTTATGCAGATCTGAAAGTGACACTGAGTTAAAAATGTTGGTCATTTTCAAGAACATTTCGTGACACACACACACAGACACACACACCACAAGAAGCTCGTTGATTTACGTACGTGTGGGTTGTTTCTACTTCTTGTGGTCCAAGTGCTGTATGTTTATTTTTCTTACAGGTGCGGCAGTTGGACATATATTGTGCATTACTATTTGTACTTTTTTATTACATCTTTCCATATTTTCTCCTAAACAAGGGGACCGTATAGAGAATTTATAAAAAGCAAAATGGGTTTGGCATAGCAGTGCATTCAGATCATAACTGAGACTGCAAAAGCTGCCAGACAGGATAGGAAACAGCAAAAAACAAAACTGTAGGTCTAAATACCTTTGAAGGGCTACGGCACGGTTTCCATAGGCACTTGATCTGATCGTGTTAAAGGCATGACAGCCAGGACCAGTAAGAATACATGTTTTAATACGTGAAGCAGTCTGGCTGAGATATACTTTCACTTAGAACAATGCATTCGGTTGTTCAACTGGTTTGTTTTGCACGGCTTGGTTGTCTGACATCATTTTTGTGCCATTCATAAAAACGAAAGGAAAGAAAAGAAAGCAAAAGAAGAACGAAAAAAAGATCCGTTGTGTTGGTTGTGAGGACATTTGTGCTTGCTTTTGGTTTTGCTTGTTTGTGTTTGAGGTATGGATGCATTTGAAAATTTCAATTCGAATAAGTGTGTAATATGTAAGTAAAATCTGAGTGTGACGATTTGCAAATCTCATAAATCCATATTTTACTCACAATAGACAATTGGACACATCAAATGTTTAAACTGAGAAAATGCATCAATTAAAAACTGATGTTAGCTCATTTTCAACACCTGGGAACACTGAGGCATTCCCAGGCAAGCCGAGAGACATAAACTCCTCAGTATGTAGTGTATCTACCCCAGGGCTATCTCCAGGTAGGATAGGCCCAGAAAGCCTCATCCAAGAAGTATCCTAGATGCCCAAACAAACTCAGCTGGCACCTTTTGATGTGGAGGAGTAGCATCTCCACTCTGAGCCCTTCCCAAATGACTGAACTTCTGACCCTATCGCTAAGGCTGCGCCCAGCCATCTGTCAGAGAAAGCCCATTTCTGCTGTTTCTATCCACAATCTCATTCTTTTAGTTCCACTCTGGTGCGAGCTGGAGGTCACCACCTGCTGAAACAGAACCACATAATGTGCAAAAAGTAGAATCGAGAGGTGAGAGATGGATTGTTCCTTCTGAATCACAGGTTCAACTACTGGATGTACTCTGCTCACTGGCTCCCTGGTGTAAGCCTTCACAGGGAAGCTCAGGAGTGCTCAGCCCTGTAGCTTTTAGGAACACAGGCTGAACCTTGTCCACCCCAGAGGCAAGGCCACATAAGAGTTAAACTACCTGAGTGGCCTCACCTTCAGTGATTAACAAGTCAGCTGAGTCACTTGACGATTGGAGTCATTTCAAGGCCAACTGAAAGTCTCCCACACACAAGTTTTTGCTTCAGCCACATTTTCTCAGTTTAAACATTTCATATGTTTTTGTATGACCTTCTGAGAAAACGTGCATTCATGAGATTTGCAAACTTTTTTTGCTTTTGTGAATTTTACAAAGCATTTCAACTTTTTTTTAGTTACAGTTGAAACTTTTTTGTTTTTTTGTTTTTGGGAGTTTTTTGTTGGTTTTTTGCAATATTTTCTCTGAAGATCATCTGCCTGATGCAGATTGAAAAAAATGATCTAGAAAACTTTTTAGAAAATGCAGAATGATGAACATTTAAGAAATGTGAGCAAAAAAAATTCAACTGTGTATGTGAAAAATACCAACAGCTGGCACACTGCTACTAAATTAGCATATTTATTGCTCTGACTCTTTTATGGCCCAGCACCTGCCCTATTTTTTGGTGTAGGTGTGCAAATATTTAGTTATTAATTTTTTAAAATCAAAAATTCCAACAGTAGCTCATTTTCAGCCAGTGGTCATATGGTTCAAAGGTTATGCACGTCAGGTGCACCTGCAGCTCTGTCCCTCTGGTGTCACTACAGTGTCCAAGGTGCACACACTAAGGAATACCAACAGAATCGTCTGTGGGTTTCAAAAGATATAAATAAAAATAATAAAGAGGAAGAACTAAAAACAAAATAGAAAAATTGGGTTTAAAAAATGTAAAAAAAAAAAAAAAAAAAATCTCACAGTGTCACTATCTTTCATGTCTTCCGTGATCAGGCGGTGGCTTATGTCCACAGCCGCCACCCGTCCTCTGTGCTTTTTGCAGTGAGTGAGGGGTCAGGCTCAGGGGTTCTTCTTTCATATTTGGGGGAGTGTGGATCGAGCACGTACCTGACAGCAGCAGCAGCAATCTCACCTGTGCTTCTCGGCCAACTGTGGTTTGAAACGCCTATGCCTCCTATTTACCGCTGGGGGGCACTGTTTCACCGAAAACAGCAGCTCAGAAGGTGAGAACAGTAAAAGTGTTATATCACAGACATAAATGAAGCATGGATATGATATCTTTCTTTTGTTGGTTTTCTTTATAAGATATGCGAGTTCCTTCAGAGGCGTCCGGGATGTGGATCGGGCCCTCAGCTCTTCGTCCCTCAGGGACTTTGAGGAAGCACTTTTCTGCTCCCCAGCTCAGCCTCAATTAAGCCCTTTAAATTCTGGACTGAGCTCAAGATTTCACTCCCAGTGGGGCCTGGCATCTTCAGCAGCCTGGGCGCTGGATGAGAGGGCATACCCAGCCAAGGACTGGGAAAGCTACTGGGAGAGAAACGAGCCACTGAGAGATGCAGATGAGGTGGCGGTCCCTGTGCTCTGTGTACGCAGCAGTGATGACCCTCTCCTCCCGCCTGCCTCCACTTTGCCCCTTCCCCTTTTTATGAGCAATCCGTATTTCTTTCTGATGTTGACAGACAGGGGAGGGCATTGTGGATTTGCTCTGGAGGAGCAGGGGGGAGAAATGTGGAGTCATATCTCAATTCTGGAGTACTTTAGGGTCGTAGCTGAATTCCTGCGTGGGGATGAGAGGAACAGGGTGAGTTGGAGTGCTCTAATGGAAGAAAATAGTCAGGCTAGGCTGAGGGGCTGGAGCATGGCTCCTGCTCGTAGGAGAAAAGCCACAGAGATGAGAAGACCAAGACCACAGGCTGCTGATCAATGCGCCATGGATGCACAAGAAGGGAATTTCACCTGGAAGAGGTCCTACACACGCTGAAGGGGAGAGGATGGATTCTTCCCAATTGTGGTATTGAGAAGATAAAAAACAAGTCTTTCAAATACAAGCAGACAAAAGAAAACTTATTTTTAACCAAGAAAAAAAATGCATAACTAATGACATTAGCTGACTAATGCCTATTGACATTTTTTCAAAACACACTGGTCTTCAAATAAAAGACCTTTATGTTATTTTTAAATCATGATTTCATTTATTAAAGGCAGAAAACAAATTATCTAAACCTATTCGGCCCTGTTTGACTGCTGGTATGCTCTTTTTGTGAAATGCTGTCACAGGTTTTTGCACCAGATCTAACTGGTCACAAACCTTCCAAAAAGTCTAAAGGTTTAACTCAGTCTTGGGGGATTACTGACATGTTTTTGGAGAATGGGAGATGAGTCTTTCACCCAGTCTCTTTCTTACTATTGACCCATTAACTCCGACCTTAAGGGGGCAAGTAAGCTGCAAACACATAACTGCCTCAAAATATATGTTTGTGTCTCCTGTGCTTTACGTCCATGAACAGACTGGTGTAGATGGGCTTAAGGTACATGTAGGATCTTATTATTACTTTTGGACCATTTGTCTGAAAGACACAAATATCTTTAGTATCTATCAGTTGGGTGGTGGGGGTTAATCAACCAATCAGTGATCATTTTCAGGTGAGTAATTTGTCATCAATTTCTTCTACCTGTTTAACTTAAGCAGTAGTGAAAATCACCACAGTTATTGCAGTTACTGTGACCAAGTAACAAAATTCTCTCGAAAGAGGCTCCGTATTCCTCTGGCTTATAAATCTGAACTGTAATTCTTATCCACTTACTTTGAGAACACTCAGGAATCTCAGCTGCTTTACAGAAGTGTGCGTTTGTGCTCCTAGTGCTAGAAATGTTTCTGCTCTTCTCCAAACCCTGATGATTTTCTGCGCTACAGGTCGGTGGCACTACTCGAAAGTATCTACAAATCAAAACCATACTGCTCCTGGCTTTTTGTAAGATGACTTCGTTTGCAAAACGTCAACTTTTCCTACGATTTGTTGGTAAAATGATGACTGGAGAGTGAAACCACGGGCTTCCGAACATGTTAAAGGGGAATTATTAATCAGTTTTTCCTGCTTCTCTCACAGTCTGCCCACTGAAATGATTTCTATTTATTTGTGGCAACAAATTGTTAAATGATTTTTTTTTAAATATAGTAAAACTCATCCAAACTGTACAAAAGCTTGTGCTGCACAATGGAGGTGGTTGTTGGTGCAAAACTCCTTGAACCTCCTTTGGTACAATAGTACAAATGCCTATTTTTGCAAAAAACATCCAAATTATAAACAATCCCATTTCATTTATATGGTGCCAAATCACAACAACAGTCACCTTAATGCGTTTTATATTGTAAGGTAAAGACCCTACAGAACTACAGAGAGAACCCCACAATCAGACCACCCACTATGAGCAAGCACGACAGTGGGAAGGAAAAACTCCCTTTTAACAGGAAGAAACATTAAGCGGAATAAAATTCTCTACCGGGGTCTCCGGAGATCTTAAAATGAAACAGTTACACTTTTTCCATTTCATATCCATACATGACTGTATTTCCTATTTCATACAAGACACCACAGGACAAATAAATATTAAAATTATTTTATTACAGATGATTCTTTATCCAGTAGCCCTCTTCCAACAAAAAATAGTAATTACAAACAAAATATTACATTTATCCCCTAAACTTTGCCTTTGAGTTTCATTTATACATTTTACTTTGTCATCTGTAAGGAATATCTTTTCTCTTCTGCTATGCAACATTCAGCTTTCTGCACAATCTATACATTTAATACAGTTTAATACAGATCTCTGGACCAGGGAGAATAAAACAGCAAGATCCACCAAATGACAGGAGATAAAAGGAATACTGATAAAACAGACTGTACAGAGACATAAGCCTGCCTCCCACCTACTTTCAGCAATAGCAGTCACCTCCTCCCCCAACCCAAACACTGAGAGTTGGGGGGGTGGATCACAGTAGACTCTTTAATCTGGTCAGTCACTTGTGCAATCAGTGCAACTGATCCAGTTCAGAGTGACCGAGGTCTAAAGGTAGACTGCCTCGCAAAACACCTGGGAGTTCTAGTAAACACAAGAGAAGGTCTAAAAGTCCACCGCTCGTTTGGCCCTCTGCAGACATCATCTGGAAATTAAAAACACCCCTTCTGGCATAAAAACACTAAAGAGCTGGGGGGAAAGTTGGTACAATGGCATACAGGCGCTTTGTTTCTGAGCCAAAAAAGAGATTCAAACTATTGACTACAGGTTGGTACTCCCCCCCACACCAAAGGCAAATCATTAAGTGCAGTGTGAAAATGGTTTGTGTCGAACCATAAACAAACAGGGCTCTTGGTGCACAGATCAGAAAATGTAAGGTCAGTGGACCCTACAAGACAAAAATGTTTACTGTCTACAGCAAGAATCTGGAAACAATTTTAGCCATTTCAGATTTTAACACTTCTTTTTTTTCCTTAAATAAATCTTTAAAAAGACTTTTCCCCCCTCATGTTATAACCTTTACTTTAGCTCCAAGTCCTTTAAAAACCACCAAGATATGAAGCAGAGAGGCTGAGTCTTCACTATGGGGTACAATGTCAGTAACACATAGCCAGTGCTCGAGCAAAGGCTCCACCTAACTAGTTTTCAAATTATGTGCAAAATCATCCTCATACACTACAAAACAAAGTGTTGCCGTTTACTCAAGGCAATCTGACCTACAGTTGTGTTGTTATCATTCACAACAGCATATCTGTAACAAGTTCGAGAACTCGCAGCTGCAAATAAGACAGTGAAAAACTCAGCAGCCGCGAATCGATCCATCGTTCAACTGCCGCCGCTCTAAAGCCACGCACCGCTGTGCCTGCATCGCAAGTTAACTCGTCTCTGATTTGTCGATTCGATCTCCACATGTTCAGATTCAAAATATACAATATTAACACGCTTTTCCTGTACATTCCACCTCTGCAGCAACATATAATGCATAAACTCTGTTTCACAATAACACTTTCCACCTTTAGCTTTACATCTCTATAATCCTTCTTTATAGATTTATAACATTTATATATATTTCTTTCTTCTTTTGTTTTACTTGAGAGAGCTCTTTCCACAAAGATCCAGGAGGGGAGCGAAGGAGCGAAGACCAAAAAAACCAAAACAAAAAGGAGGCTCCAGAGGGGAGGAAACGTAGGCGGAGGGATGCTGGGGGACAAGATCGGTGGTCAGAATGTGACATTGTGGTCATCAGGGGTGAGACAGAGCGGGGTGTCAGACCGGGGAAGGTTGCAGGGGCATGGCAGCGGAGATCCCAGCATCACCACCCATCCACTCTTCAAAAACGTTCAGCAGTCACCAACCAAGCTGAGGGCTAGTGAAGCTCCTCCTCACTCTGTGTTCATTTGTTTTCACTGTAGGGTCTTATAAGGTTTAAAAATAAAGAAAGAAAGAAAATAACAAAGAAATAACAAAAAGGCATTTCGGGCAACTGTGAATAATAATACTTCCCAAAGCTTCACGGACGTTTTTATACATTAATAAATTTGCCTGCTGCTGCTGACTGTGTTGCCAATTTACATCCAACTCAGCTCACAAAGGCTAAGTGTGCTATTTTCAACGCACATGCATTTATAAACCAGGCTTACGTAATGTTTGCCTGGGCGAATAAAATGAATAGCCACTACATGTTTGTGTAAATGTGTCCGATTAACAATTAAGAGTGGGTGAAAGCCTACGCCAAAGTGCAAATCAAGACATTCAAGGCTCTAACTTGAGTGTTCTTGAGGTAGGCCAAAAGGCTTGTGTCATTTTTTTTCCTCTTTTCTTGTTGTTTCTAACTGCATAGTGCATCACTAAAATGGTGCCAAATCAGATTGAAATTGTATTGCAAACAAGTGATGAGTGAACACCAGTTTTGAAACTGTTCAAAGTTGAGGTTAGGTGCTGCTGAAAACCCATCTCTGTCATAGGGCCTGCAGACTAATAAGGATCCAAGTGCCCTTCAGACTGGCCTTCCACTGGGCAGGTGTGAGTGAAGGCCAGAGGCCTGTGGAAACCCAAGAGCTGAGATAACGGAGCTGAACACGAAGGACAAGTGGCTCCCTTGGCCACGTGGCATTAATGTCCACTGAACTGCCTTTCTCCGGCACAATGTGTTTCACTACACCACAGTATTGTTGGCATGAGTAGCTATAACGACAAATCCAACTCTGCACCTTTACCTTTGGCAGCTGGGCTGGGCTGCTGATCTCGCTGAAACTTCTCACGTCAAGTCAGCTGGATTAGCTTTGGAGCTGGAATTAATACTGTCACCACAACTGTCCCCCTGCACTGCAGCTAAACAGTCAGCAACACCCACAGCTATTCACTTACAACGACCTTCGCTCTCTTTCTCGGTCCATTAACTTCCTCAGCTGCGTCAAGCGTCGCTTGAAACAGTCCTTCCGTTCTCTAGTCTTCCCCCAACTACACATAAATAATCTAATTTAACTTTTCATCAGTTTAAATCTGGTTTGAAGGACAAGCTCAGCAGCTTTGTGCACAATCGGTCCCACTTGGGTTTAAAACAATACTGCGAAACAGAAGATGGCAAACAAACCACTCTCAATAGAAAATTAACACACTAGTTTGGGATTGTGGCAACAGAGACTGATACGGCAGTAACAAACACACACAGCAGTGTATGCTGCAGTAAAAAAAACAAAAAAACAACAAGAAAACTACTATTGCACTACTGTAAATGGCCCTCGGGTATCTTATTAGTCTCAAGTCTTCTGGGTTTCCACAGACTGCTGCTAGCAGTACACTGATGTAGAGCAGTGGTGACAGGAGAGCGACTGGGCTCAGGTAAACCCAGCCTCAGTACTGTGCAGTGCGAGATGTACTGTGGTATGTGCGTGATGCGTGTGTGTACAGTTATCTCGGAGCGAGATATTAGCTTTAAGACAATTTGTGTGTGCGTGTGTATTTTAGGTGTATGACAGGTGGGATCCATTGGAGATCTGAGAGGTGATGCTGGCGCTCCTGCTCATGCCCTGTTCACTCCTCCCCCCTGATGACGTCCTCCTCATAGCCTGCGGGCTGTTCCTCACCCCTCCCGCACCTCCTTGGCTACCCCTCTGACTACCCCCACCAGGGTGGTGGAGGCTCCAGGGTGGTGGGCCCCCAGCCAGCATGGGGTGACCCCAGGACTGCTGTGAGCTGGAGCCCCCCTGGTGATGACTATGGTGACTGCTTCCTCCACCTCCTCCCGGCCAGTGGCCTCCCCCCTGAGCCCCCTGGCCTCCTCCTCCTCCTCCTCCCCAGCCTCCCTGAGAATCGGGAGCCAGGTTAGTGAGCACCATGTTGCTGAAGCCCAGTCGCATGGACTCCGAGTCAAAAGCCTCGATCTCTCGGGCCTGGCGCTCCAGCAGTGAGCGGATTCGCTCCAGACGCTCGTTTTGCAGGGAAAGCATTTCCTCCTCGATCTGGGGACATAAACACAATGTGACACCGGAGAAAAAACAGGCAACTACATTGTTTGTATTACTGGCCAAACGTATGAACAATCCCAGCGTACTAAAGATAAAACACAAACTGTATGTGCAACACCTACAGAGAATTGGTACATATAAATGCAGAGGTAACCGCAGTCCTGTCACTTCCCAACATGCACTCAGCCACATCCCGACATTAGACAAAGGCTATTCTTACTTTCTGCTCCAGCAGAGCCCGCCGCAGAGACACCCTCTGCTCCAGCTCCCTTCTCTCCTTGTCGTGCTGTGCGTCTGTCTGCATCTTGATTTTGCTCTGGTAAGCATTGAGCAGCTCAAGCTCCTGCTGCAACTGCATCCTCAGCACCTGACACTCCGCCTCCTGAGCTTCATCCAACCGCAGCTAAGGGAGGGAGCAAAGAAACAGACCTACATAAACGGGTTCTTCTGTGGCTGTTATGCATTAAGAAAACATTAAAGATGCCCTTCACAAATATATTAAACAAATTAGCTTTGAATAATCTATAGATACATTTTCACTATGTTGCTCAGAAATGACTTATGTTTGATAAATGTTGTTGTTTCATCCTTTATGAAACTTACAGCCTGTGTGGAGAGCATTTCATTGATGGAGTGGTCATACTGCTCGGCGAGGATGGCCAGCTTCCTAGTCTGCTCCTCCTTCAGCCTCTTTAGGACAGCCTTGTGGTCGGACTTGGGTGTTGTCTCGAGCAGATGGTTCCTGAGGGCCTTGTACTGCCGAGTCTGCGTTTTGCAGGTCTCCTGAAACTGCTTCTTAATCTGAAGCTCCTTAGACTAAAGGGGAAAAATAAAAGTTGAATGAGATGAGATTAATTCCAGTTAAGTGTTGGTAGTAAATTATTTGTTAAAGGAAAAAGAAACAGTCTCCATCTTTCTGTGTACCTTCAGGCTTTTGGGCTGCTGCCGGACCTCCATGACATGCTTGCGCCTCAGCTCCCTCTCCCTCCTCTTATTGTACTCCAGCTGGTTAGTGAGCTCTGTCTGGTGCTGGGTGCGTATCAGCTCTGCCCGGGCCTTCTGGATTGTTGCCAGATGCCTGAACTCCAGCTCCTGCATGGACTCGTGATGCCTCAGCAGCATTGCATGCTCCAGATCCTTCTGCGTTTGACGTTTGTTCAGCTCCTAAACAAACAAACAAAAACTCAAATACGTATCATAAAACTGATCTAAAGTGAGACTGTGTGCTGCTGGGTATATGTTTCTCCCGTTTCTCTCCACACCTCTCTGGCCAGGTCCTGCTCCACATTGTGTCTGGCGATGAGGATCCTGCGTTTGAACCGCCTACACTCCAGCTCCAGATACTGCCTCTGTCTCCTCAGCAGGTTAGCCTCCTCCTCAGCCTGGAAATAAACATTATGGTTTTGTAATAAATAACCATAGAACTCATACTGCCAAAAAAATTATAATAATAAAATAAATCAAAGAGACTCGGCAAATAAAGCTTTGTGGGGCAGACGAGTAAAAATCTCACTTGTTCTTTGAAGGGTACATATTGAGCGATCCTCACCTGGAAGTGTTGGATGTTCTCTTTCTGCTTGGACAGCCACTCCTGCTTCTCTTTTTTGGGTGTTGACTGGTTCTCACTCAGCTCCTGCCACACAGGTGTCGTTTAGCTTTTTTTTTTTTTTTTTTTAAAATATGCAGGGATTCAGTTTGACACAAAAGCGTTTGAAGCCCTGCATTCCTTAACCTGCGCCGGTCAAAATTCACATCTCACAAATAACTATTTAAACCCACCTTCAAGCAAAAATAAATGAAGCGTGTTTCCGGTCTTTGTCTTGGATGATAATAAATTAAAAATATTTGAGTTCTCGACTGAAGTGAAATGTGTTTTTGTTTTTACCCTGCTAGCAAAATGGGAAACGGGGGTGAGATCCACTGTACTCATGTCTTAATCATCCGGGCCACATGGACTTTAGGCTGGAAAATTACGAACTAATTCTCAATTTTCAGGAACCATTTGAATTTCCTCTCTTGCCTAAAATGGTGGAGGAGTCATGGTAATGTGAAGCGCACATGGTAAAATCTAGGCAGAGCTGATTTTGTTCAGACAGCAGTACCCTGTGAATGCTTTATGAGATACGGCAGCAATCTCCTCGTAAAGCTCGTCTTCTCTTCTCTTCAAACCCATTACAATTATGTCTCTTGCACAAACGGAGTTACAGTCATTTAAAAAGCACTTGTAAATTAGTAGATGGTGAGCTAATAACTCAATAAAACTGAGACAAACATTGAATGAAAAAGCAGCCAATGTCCAAAGAAAAACTGAAAATCTGCAGAACCACTGAGTCAGACCACATTGATAAATTACAAGTCTGGCTCAGTGGAAGCAAAATATAAAGAAATGAGGGGTGACTCAGGACTTTTGTGCAGGACTGGATATTGTAAATTTACTAATTATTATTTATATTAAATTATAATTATCTTTATTTAGTCTGATAAACAGGCTGCATTTATTATCTGCTGAGGCGGATGTGCGTTACCTCTTTGAGCTGCTCTTTGCGTAGTTTATACTCCCGCTTTTGCGACTCCAAGAAGCTGCTGAGCTCCTTCTTCTGCTGAACCTGAATGTGCTGCTGGAACTTCTTCTCATCGTTGGCAAACGTCTTCAGCTAAATCGAACATGAATATAGTTTAATATCATAATGTGAGCATTTCGCTGTTGTCTCTACAGACTATTAACTGCGTTTTTCCTCTGAATTAATATTTTAGTTTCGTTTGTCTACATACGTCTTTTTCCAGGGCCGCTTGGTGTTTTTTAAGCAGCTTCTCCATCTCCTGGGTGAAGTTGTTCCTCTGACTCTCCAGCTCTTTGTCCAGCCTCAGCCTGTGCTCATCCATTTCCCCTTTCAGCTTGTTCTCCAGGGCCATTAGGTGCTTCTGATGTTGCCGCCTCATGCGTTTGTATCCTGACATCTGCTCCCTCAGCTCCGAGTCCTGCTCGTGTTCTTGCATCTCACGTGTCACCTACAATATGACGATGAAGAAGAATTATCAGAACGTTGTTGTTACACTAGGACATTCCACTTATCTGATTAGACACTTGTGCTTGTGAGTGGTAAACAAATCTACTCGCAAGTCTCCACCAAGGAATTTTAAACATTTGCTAAACATATAACACATAATATTTCAGTCCTTTTGTCAAATCAAAGGAAGGTTTATTAAGCAAATGTGTTCTTACAAGTGATGCTGTGCGTATAGTGGCAAAGTGCTCTCTGTTGCGGTAGTGCTTCCTCGGGGCCTGAGCTGGTGTTGGCTGGGGCTCAGTGGGCTCACTGGTGGCCGCTTGTTCCAAAGAGAGACTCTCTTCTTCCTCCTGGAGGGGGGTAAGACAACAGAATAATTGAGAAGATACACTACACAGTGTAACCGTGGAAAGAGCACATTCAAGACACTTGGAGCATTGACATGTATGCATGGTCTGAGAGAGTGAAGTGACGTAACTTGAGCCCAAGCTCCCAGCAAAGCCATGTGAGGCTTTATTATAAACTGAGATCAGAAGAATCCACCTTTAAATTGTTAGCATGTGTCCGAGTCGTTTCACCTACCGGTTTGAGGTGTATGACTGAGCTGTTGGACATGACTGTGTGATCTCCTTCCATTAGGTCCAGCTCACTGCGGCTGTCCTGGGCTGCTTCATTCAGGCTGTTGACAGAGCTGCTCTGGGAGCTAGCGCTGATAGACATGCTGGGGATGGACTGATTACTGCCAACGCTATTCACCGTTCCTGTCCGACCTCCACCAGGCTCCAGGTCCTGAAGACAAAGCCGAAAGAGTGGCGCAGAGAAAGACGGCGTGCGAGGGAACAAGAGGAAGAACGAAAGACACAGGAGACGCAGACAGACATGCATACAAACAAGGCATTTAGAGTTACTGAGGAAAGCTCTTTTAAAGTGGCAAATTCATTTGTGTGCCCACATGAAGCCTGTTCTTGTCGCTCAAGTTTGGATGCTAGCCAGCAAACGTCCACACACCTCGTCTGCATCCTGGGCTTCTGAAGTGGGCCCATTGTGGGCCTCCTGAAGGAGGATCTTCTTCATCTTTCGGTACTGCAGGTTATCCAGCTCTCGTACGGCATCCTTGGTTCTCTGAATGAGGTCCATCAGCACAGAGTCTGGACGCTCACGTTGCAGAAACTCGTGCTGTGGGGCGGTGAAAGGAAAGTTACTTGCATGTCCATTTTTAACTGGTAGGTTTGTAAGTAACGTGACAGGAGACGGGGAAATAACATCAGAATGACATCAGAGTACATTTCAAATATTATGAATGTGATGATGGGATATTCAGTACTGCCAAAAGATATTGAATGCAAGTGATGAGGTCATAGCCCTGGGATTTAATGGGAGGATGACTCACGCCAGGCAAGGTTGTCTCATACTATGCCCGATCATTGCTGTCCCTTCTCCCTATGCCCCTAACCTCTATGCTGACCTGCACCGACAAAAGCCTTACAGCCCAGGCCTGGGTATACTGCTTCAGGATCAGCAACTCAAGAGCAACCACACCAGTTAAATTGAGGACAAAGGTGCTCAGGCATTGATTGATTAGTGTCAATCTAAGAGTGATGATCCCATTGGTGTGTGTTTATGCCTGAATATTAATATGTATATTCTTTGTCTGACAATGACACAAATTAATTGTTTTCAGGCAAAAAACAGGGGAAAATAAGCTGCATGTGTGAAGAGTCTTTTCTTGACTGATCAAATATATTTACATGTCAGAAGTTCTACTGAAACACAAGTGAAGCTTGGATTTTTACACTGCAGTCTCATAACATTAGATGAAATTTGCAAGTTAGCATATAATAATAAGTTACAGTATCTGCAAACAAAAGAAACACCTACACGAACTGCTCTGTCATGGAAAGCTCCCAGCACACAGTTCCCAAACACATAAACACTGCACTAATACTACTGACAGACTGTGGATTATCTAGGAGGGAAGTCATTTCACAAATAAAACTGCTGGAACTTAACTTGCATCCTCTGTAAAAGCAGAGGGCTAGCCACTTGATTATTATACACCTGTGACAACAACACTGAAAACACCTGAATTCAGAGGTCAAGAGGTGCAGCTTAATACCTTAATACTTTCCAGTTACTAATACTAGTTATTATTAATCTCTGGCTCTCTTCCACAGTGCGTCTTCTGTCTTGTCTCTCTCCCCTCTTGGACATCACATTTTGGGTTGTCTAGACCAAAATACAATATTTTGCTCTACGGGGGCCTGATATCCACTTACGAGGACGTTATACTGCCACTGTTCTATCAAAATTTTAAACAAATGTCCTAATATGTGGATCTCATTTTTCTCAGAAACAAAAATCAGGTAAAAGAAAAATTAAAAAAAAAAAAAAAAGTCTGCTAATTCTTTGTTTTTACATTCATCAGGTCCCAATCAGCCCAAATAGCAAAAAGAAACTAAGAATGCCACGAAAGAGTTCGGGAGGTTAAAGGAAGTTTTTCCTTCCCACTGTTGCCAAGTGCTTGCTCATAGGGGGGCGTCTGATTGTTGGGATTCTCTCTGTATTCATTGTAGGGTCTTTACCTTAAAATATAAAGCCCCTTGAGCGGTTGTGGTTTGGCACTAACCCTAAGCCCAAGATCCTCAAAAGGAACATGTGTTATATTAGTTAGTCAGAAATAAAAGTTAACCCTTAATATATAACATTAAAATCCCAGAATGAGTGCCACAATAGTTAAAATGTCAGCGCATAAGCTACTATTACATTTTGACAATGACTCTTCCTACCATGTGCCTGCTTACCAGAACCCCCATGTATAAGGGGAAGAAATGTGCACAAGAGCAGATCATCCAGACGACTGTCTGTGAAGCTATGACAGTTATGACAGCTAAAAATAATACCCAAGTAGATAAAGTCACGCATTTCCTCGTAAGATTAAAAGGCATTTGCTACGCACTTTAATGCTGGGCATACACTGTGCGATTTTTGGCTTATTTTGAGCCGATTTTTTAGTTGTGCGACCGTTTTGGTTATCGGCCCGAGTTTCGCCTTCATCGTGTAGTGCATCGTGTAGTATACGTGGGGTAACGAGAAGCTTTTCTGTTATAACCTTCATTTTATGGACGCACAGTGTGAGCACTTAGATCGCATCATAGCATCGGGCTGTATAGTGTGAGACCCTGTATCATGACCTACAAACTTCTAAGCCCTGCGAGTCAATCGTACAGTTTGAGCAGAAGCTGAATAAGGCGACTGAAGAAAAAAAACAAACAAAAACGCAGTGTTTGCTCAGCTTAAGGTGGTTAAGTTGGGCTACAACTCACATACAGGAAAACCACAATAAGCAGCAGCTAAAAACACATTTCAGCTGATCTTGAGATAGGCACAGTTTTAGAAGTTGACATTTAAAAAAAACCAAAAAGACAATGTGCAGTGTTTTCATACCCTAAGGGCAACTTCCATTAGCAACAGAGAGTCTATTAGCAGGCTAAACGACAGCTGCTCAGTGACTTAACGATGGACCCTGAAGTCACATCTCCATAGTAATTACAGCAAGCTCTGTGTGCATGTGTGTGTGTCTGTACATGTTTTGGTTGTGTGTGTCTCTGTCAGTTTATCCGGAAACGGAGGATTAAAGAATCAAAATAGAAGCTTATGTGAGGAGAGAACAGAGTGCAAACATCACAGGGAGCTTCATCACCAGAGGGCTCGTCAGTATCACATCTTAGCACAGTGACCCTGCTGCTCTCTGTCTGTGTTGCAGTGTACGGTACATCAGCACATGTGCGCACACTTACACCCAACATGTCGTCAGAGTGCGGTCGGTCCTGGGGGATTTTCTGAAGGCAAGAATCGATAAAGTTTCTAAAATCTTCTGACCTGGAACAAAGACGAGGAGAAGAGAGACTGTCAAAAAACAACGACACAGAGAGTGGGCATCAAAAACAAACATCATTATTTCAGCTACAAAACACTAGATATAGAATAACTCTCTGCTGGCATCCACAAAAAAATATACACCTTTGTTTCACATCCCCAGCAGACATCTGAATTTAACTACACAGACGATAAACTGTGAGTGCATGTGTGACACCTCACCATTCACTGGACTGCAGCGTGGGGCTCTCATTCTGCGCTATGTGGTATAAGGCACTCATTGCATTCATGTTAAACAAGGGAGGCTTCCTCTCCGCTGGAACAGAACGACATCAGTCAGACACCAATTTAATTACAGGGTGACTGGTATGAGTAAGGGAAGGGTTAAAGCTGCCTTTCACAACTGATGAGAAGTAAAAAAAAAAAATACCCAACTGTGATCAGTAAACACTGCTGATGCAACAAAACATCACAATCACTTTGTCAGGGAAAGAAAATCCTTAATCTTTCATTTCCAGTAAAAGTAACTTTCTCCTGCTGTTACATTTTTATTGATACAATAGAGGTGGCGTGGTGGTACACTATTAGCACTAGCACCACACAACAAGTTAAGATAACTGTTGATTCTATATTGGCCCACGGGTGTGAGGTAGATAAAGTTAAGACACATAGAATAAAGCACTGTATGAATGTCTGGTTAAATGTGGGTTGCAGGTTAAAGTGCTTTGAGTTCTCAACAAGACTAGAAAATTAGCTTTATAAATGTCAGTTCAATCATACAAACACACTGTCACTCACCTAATTCTATACAGGTAATCCCTAAGGACCAGACGTCCACCTTTCCATCATACTGGCCTTCATCCATAGCTAGAATCACCTCTGGGGCCATCCTGGATAAATTCAAGGAAAAACATAAATCAGGACAAGGGATCAGACAAAAAGCCACATAATATAAATATAGGGTAAATTAATAGTAAATAAGGCAAGGTCGAAATCCTGTTACTGATTACAGTATCAAAGCATTTGACTATATCAGCAGGCATGGGTATGAATATGAAAATATACAATCAGTTCTGGTCAATCGCTGCTTTTAACAGACACCCACTTAAAGAATCGATAAATTTAGTTCTGGTTTATGCACGCAAAACATACACACACGCACGCTTACACTTTAACTTCATACAGATTTCACTTACCAATATGGCGTTCCCACAAAAGAGTTGGCAGGTGAGGCAATGGAGGCAGAGCCAAAATCTGCCAGTTTGACTTGGCCAGGCTCAGTCAGCAGGATGTTGCCAGCTTTCACATCCCTGAGAGAGAGAGAGAACATCACAGCATGTGGATAAGTGGAGAGATGTAGTGTTTACAGTTGCTTCCTAAGATACTTAAAATATCATAAAATAAAATAAACAGTTGATTGAGGACCTCACTCACCTGTGGATCATATTATGGGAATGAAGGTAGGCCAGCCCCTGCAGAGCACCATGTGTGATGGCAGCAATCTCAACTTCTTGTAAAGGTTTTTTATGAACTGCAGGAAAACAACCAGAACAATGTGAACTCACTCAAATATCCACATGTCATTTAGAAGAGTAAAAACAACTGTTTGCTTCTCACCTTCTAGCAGGTCAGAGGCCGAGCCAAGACAGTACTCCATCACCAGCTGGAAACATGACATCATTTTAAGAATAGCGGTGCTAGGCAGCGTGAGATTATGCATGCCTGTAAGCTAGACTCACCCATGCTGTGTGCTCACGGAGGTAACATCCTTTATATTCTATACTGTTGGGGTGCCGGATCCTTTGGAGGAACTTCACCTCCTTTATGATGTCCTGCCATTTCTGTTGGTGAAATAAAAATTTAAATGGCAATCGTTGACTGGCTTAACGAACCAGAGGTGGCTGTGTCTGCAGCAAAGTTACTGATTCAAGAAAGTGAATTCCACTTTGCTGGAAGCTCAGAAACAGCACAATGTTCACCTATAACGTTCTTTTTATATTTGGATTTGGATTATTTGGCATCAATGCTTCATGATTTGCTGCATCAATTTGTGTTTTTTCGATCTGTTTTCTGGCCACAATTTTCTCACCTCATTAGACTGTTTGCCACTGTAGGACATCTTTTTAATTGCCACCACCTCGTTTGTGCGCACATCCCGTGCCTGGGAAACGAGAAGGACACTGTTGGTACATGCTGCAATCAGAACATACACTGTAACATTAATTATCTGCATTTGACATGTTGTTTATCAAGATCTCTTTAAAAGATGGAAGTAACTTTTGAGTCTGAAAAATGAAGCCAGGAGTATGATTAACCTGCATTCTCTATAATGGCCAAAAGGCAGGGACACCTCTGAGGACATTTACATCCAAATAAACACTTTCCTGTGGAGTCTATGGGCTCATTGTTACACTATTTAACTGATTTTATCACTTTTTAAAGTGAACAGGTTTTTTTTTTTTTTAAAACTCATCTAATCCAAAGTGACTGTCTTTTGTTTGTGTCAGAGTAAAGATGCAGTTCTCTTACAAAGTAGACCGCGCCAAAGCTGCCATGGCCAATTTCTCGGAGGTCGGAGAAAAGCTTCTCTGGATCTTCTTTGAAGAAAAGCTCAGCCACCTCCGGATCCTTGAGGCTCCCTGCCCTTACGGAGGAGGGCATCCTGGTTAATGTAGTCCCTTATCACCCACGCAAAGGCGATGGGACTATCTGGCTGCTGAGCTATGGCAAAGCAGCTGAAGATTCATCTGCGGTAATCGATGACCCTAAGGAACCAGTACATGGGCGCCTGCATGGACAAAAAATGAGACAGAGACAGCGAGATGTGTTAGCAAGGACAAGATGAAACACATTGATCCTGCAGAGGAGGAACAAGAGTTTGACGATACCAGCAAGATGAGTCAAAGACCTTCAAAGAGGAAAGAAGGAAATCTGAGCACAACTTTGACCTAAAAGAAAGCAAAAATGAAATATTTTCTCAAACGCTTGTTTGCTCACAGGGTGACAGGGCAAGAATATAGCTTTATATTTCATGAAAAGAAAAACACAAAAGACCGAGTTGGTCAGAAAGGTCACCTCTGAACTATATTATACTTGGTGATTTTGGCCTTCAGCTACTGACACTAATTTAACCGCTGAGTCATCACTAGCACTGCCTCAGCAATTACTGTAGATCTTTAAACTACTGGGATGACTGGACAATACAAATATTCCAACACAAGAATTGATTTCATGTCCACTGCTATGAGCTGGCCTGCAGAAATGAAGGGTGAGCTGCACTGACTGATCAATCCTGGCATAGGGCTAAATATTTGCATCATCGGACTCACAACTAACACATTTACATATGCAAGATTAATACTGTTTACAAGCCTCATTCAAATTATGTACAAAAAAAAAAAGCTATCCAGCTGACTGTTAAAAAAAAGAAAAGAAAGAAAAAGAATTGGGAAACAGAGTCCTCAAAGACAATAAATATTCTGGACAGAATGAAATACAAACTGTTAATATAAACATGCTTAAGTAAGAAAAACAGAGGTCTAGTCTTATTCTATTGGATTCTAGTGAATAGAGATTCAGATTTTTCTAATTCTGCCATAATGAAAAAAAGCAAATAAGCTTAAAACTTTGCTGTTAAGCAAACTTTTAAGCTTCATCAACAATAAACAGGGGTCAATTTAACTATACACGAAACATTTAATATACAGGTATTGACATTTTGCATACATGTGACCACTATCCATGGGACATTAACTTCTAAGCCAGCAGAAGTAGTTGAAGTTTGATAGCAGTTGCTGGAAAAATAAGTGCTCAAGCCCCATTCACACCTGTCAGTGACTGCTTGGCAACCACCTGTCGCTACCAAAAAGAATGCATTCTCCAACCAGTTGGCAAAAACCTCCTTGTGATTGCTTTGGTTGCTACCATATTGTGAGATTGCCTGTAGATTGTATCAATGTGACAGACTTGTCTACAAATACTGGCCAGCCGCTCTGCTCTTAGTTTGGGAGTGTGGGACACAACCCGGGAATGGAGAAGGTTTGCCTTCAAAAGTAAAAGTTGCACCTTTTGAAACATGTTGACTACAGCGCTAAGGCACAACTTTTATTCTGAAGCTAAACCTTCTCTACTTCTCATTTGGCTGGTAGTTAGGGAGTATTTGAAGACAAATATGGAAAGGTTTTTTTGGTGCAGCACCTTCTTTGCAATCAATTTCACCGAGCGACAGCCAACAAACTCCAGGAACCACTTGCCAACCAGTTGTGGAATTAACATTGTTCCATAGCAACCAGTGATTATATCACATGCAATATGGTAGACAACTCTTAAGCACATACTTGACATCATGCATGGAACTTCAACAGCAAGGTTTTACTTGGTGTGAGATGCTAATGTGAACTTGTGTGAATTTCCCAAAATACACATGACATCCAGTCTCATGTTGGTCAAAGGGCCACCAGGAGTGCTGGACTGCCAAAGAAAAGCGAAACTATGCATTAGTGTTCCAATGAAAGGCAGTGCATAACATCTTCATGTCATGTGCTGCCAGTCAAGCTCATCAACATTTTTCAGTAACGATATGTAGCATGTACACAACAACATCTACATGTGGCAGTTTTACCGTATTAAAAAAAAAAGCAGATGGCACGGCCATGTTAACTTTAAAGTTAACGCTTAGAGATGTGATTACACATGTATCGTGTACTTTGAGATTTTGGGGATTTTGTGCGTGAAAGTAGAAAAGCTTCAAACCAGTGTTGCTGACAAATTAAGAAAAATATCAGCTCTAAGCTAAAAGCTTGTCAGAGCAGCAGCAACAACCAAAAATGTTAACAACAGTCTGCTGTCAAAGTTTTCTGTGATTTTTTCTAGCAGACATGTGACTACACTTCCTCATAAATGCACCACACTGATCTCACAGATTGCTACAATGCACGGCTACAACATTACATGCTAACAAGCCTTTTATTTCTATTTAACATAAGCAAAGTCATTTATATATATTTAGTTATATATTTAAAACGGACTAGAATGAAACCATTTTAGTCATTACATTAAAAAAATAAAAAATAACACATAAAAAACATACAACAAAAACCCAAATAAATAATCTACTCTTAGGTTTCTTTTTTAATCAAAATAAATTATTATTAAACTTATTAGATGCATAACAATAACATTATTTTGGCAAACTATACTTATAGAAGTGATACTTGGCGGCACTTTCTATAGGTGAGTATATTTGGTAGTGTTGAATGGCAGCTTTGAAACAAACTTTATTCTCTCAACAGTTTAAAAAAAACAAACAAACAACAAACATCTATTAGCTTAATCTTTACCTCACCTGTTTTCTTACATCTGTGCAAGACGGAGCTGCTTGAGCCCCATACTCAATAAATGCCAAACAGAAGTATTGTGACCAGAAATGAACACAGATGCCTCATTTTGCTGAACCTCTGCACTCTTTTTTTGATCCACCATCTGTCTTTACTGTACTGATGAAAGTAGCCATAGAGCCCCTCACAGCTGTTAATGTTCGGTGATAGTACTTACTACCCTGCATTACTCAGCATACCCTTTAGGCCTCACTCACACAGCCCTAGAGATCTGTTGAAACCAACTGGCAGCAACTGGTGACAAGGGAAAAGTATGGTTTCTGGAACCGGATGGTCAGTGGTTGCTGAAGGTTGCTGGCATTCGCTAGCATGAAATTGATGACAGAGAGGTTTACGGTCCTGTACTGAAAATTGCTTTACATTGCTCTGGTCACTAGCAAGTTGCTGTGGTCATCAGTAATTTATATGGAAGAGGCCATCTTGTTTGGAAACATTTGGAAACTATTCACCGAGCAATAGTGTGAAAGGTGAGATACAAAATGGAAAAGATTCTCCTTTAAAGTAAAATTGCTTGGTTCTATTGGTAAGGCACAACTTTAACTTTGAAGGCAAACATTTTCTGTTTCTGGTTTGTGTTGTGCCTTTTAGTCTCACTCCCACCTGGCAAGTATTTTCCAAGTGTTTGCAGACATGTCGCCCTTTTTTCAAGTGCACCTAGAATACATGGTGTTTGCAGACATGTTGGTATCTTCCATGTAAACTACAGAAGGCCACAGCAAAGTAATCACGAATCAATAACTCAACAACCAACCAGGGAATACATATTACACATTAATACACAACAACTGGTGTCTAGACCTGTGTGATTAAGGCTTTAGCAGTGTTATTTGGTAAATGTACAATTACTAGTTTTCCAAACTATATACATTGTAATTACTTAAATTTTCCATGTTAAATATAATTCAGTGTAAATGAATTATATATTTTTTAACCGCATTAGAACTGTACCTGATAAATATGGCCAGTTAATGCAATCATTGTCTCAGTGGAACCTTTAAAGCTACAACTTTTGACTATTCACCGTCATGGTGGTATTTAAAAAATGTGTGCCATCCAGGAAGTTAAAACTGGTACATCTAGTATACCGTCTAGCAGGTAGAAAGGTAACCGAAAGGTAATACAAATGTAACTACATAATTTCTCAATAGTGTTTTGCAGTGGTCATTTATTACAATGGTCATTTTTTCCCCTCTCATGCTAGATGCTTTTCTATTCACATAATTATTACACTTTAAAATGTAAAAGATGCAGGTTTTCTGTTAGTGTAATGAAGCATAACTTAAAAAACAGCAGTTAAAATGGTTAATTGCAATTAGGGCTGGGCCATATCATACCGTTCACGGTAATACCGATATAATGTTGGGCAAAGATAAGAAAATGAAATATCGCGATAGAATATGGGTAAAACTGCTTTGTATTTTTGTATTTCATTGTGGAAAATAATAAATATATTAAACACTAGAATATGGGTAAAACGCACATGCGCAGTGCCTTTGTTTTCATACGCACATGGCGGAAAAAGCATGGCGGCGACGGTCAGATACACAACAAAGCACTATTTGCGGTAGAGCATGCTAGCAGGCCGTCATTATTACCGTGTTGTTTGGAAAATACGGCACACTTAAAATCAATCCTTTGATTTTTCTGAAAATCGACAGCGCCCCTTATAATCCCGTGTGCCTTATGTATGAATTCTGGCTGTGTTTAATGACCTCGAAACGATTTTATGTGGTACACGGCGCTCGTAAATCTGTCAAATGTTTTAGTACGACTTTGCTAAGCTACAAACCCGCACTGCTTGATGGATTGTCGGAGCATTACGGCCATCGTAGGCAGGAGCCTATATATATGTATATATTTTAGCATTATAGGGGAAATACAGAAACAAAAGGAGCAAAGATTAATTCTAATTTAAATAACACTGCAGAGAAGTGCGAATCAAGCACTGAACGCTGTCACATGACTAAATCTGGAAAAATCTGAGCTGCATTGCTAGATGTGTGTGAGCATATTCAATTATAAAGAGGAGAAGTGCTGGACACTGTTCTGCTTTACTGCTTGAGAAAATGGATTCTCTCTCGAAGAGTTAAGCGAATTGATTTTCTCTGCACTGTAAAAATCACCATGATGCCTAATGAAGACGCAAGCAATACACAAACCTGAGTAGCAATGGGTGTGATTGAGAAGCGGGGGGGGAGAGAGAGAGAGAGCGAGAGAGAGAAATGGAGAAGGATAATAAATAATCAAATAAGTTATTGATTCCATAGTGAATTTCTCTCAGCTCCACAGGATTAGCTACAGTGGAGCAATGCTGTGGCCAGACGGCTCACCAACAGCAGAGAAAAATATGTACAGGATGTTCCAAAGAATTTTAATAGAAGCCAATTGAAACCCATTCTAAAACATCCATTACTACAACATAACACATTTTAATTACTGTTATTAATTAGACTCCAATTAACCTTTTTTTATTCTTGAAAGCAGATGATTCATAGTCTTATTTGGCAAGCTGCAATTACAACAATAATGGCTTTGAATACAAAATGTAATACCAGATTAAGTATGAAGGTTAACATTGCTCCACATGTTCTGGTAGCCACCACACCAAACATACTGTTGGAGCGATTACTCTTCCTTAGTTCCTCAACACATCCATGTTACACCCACATGCTTGTGTTTAGTTATTTTCGGGCGATTACACCCCCTCACTGCCTACTGTACTTGACTGGAGTTATTAACCACAATACCTATGATCACCTATGGATATGCTTCCCCCCCTCAACAGAACTGCTGGAATTTAATAGTTTTGTTACGTTTGTTATATATACACACATATTCATACAAATGGTGCCTAGAAGATGCTTTATGCTGTACTGTTAAATAATTCAAAATAGGAATGCACTTAGTTGATACATCTCATGACGTGATCATGTATCAGCCTGATGTAACTGGTCCTAGTGAACTCCTCCTTATTCATTTCTTAGAACATTCTCAAAACACACACTTAATTAACACACAATAATTAAAATCTTCTCAAGCCCAAAAGAGAAGCATGATTGTAGTTACAGCTCATAAACGACCCCAGTCAAGGTACTAATTTTTAAAAATGAAAAATGAAATATGTCATGTGTAACTCATCTGTGCTTGAACCAGTCAATAAACTGAGTTCATGCTTTGTTAATTACTCAGCCGCCCCATTAAAAAGAAAAACAATAACAACAGCACTGCAACATCATATAACTGTTTGTTCAGAGAAAATGTTAATTTAATGAACTGCATGTGATGTTATTAAAATGGCTTACACGCAACATTTGTATCCCTCTGGGATGGAGGGTGGGGTGTCCAAGCTCCTGCCTCCCAGACCGATTACAGATTGTGGCTTGCACTGAGTGGAGGAAGTGAACGCTCTCTAGCTAAGCTACCTAATGTCAACAACACATCTCAATTTCTCGTGCCATCGCAAAGCTGGTGATGGAGAGGAGAGACGCAGTGACCAAACGCTAAGAAGACAGAACCATCCAGTTTCTATCACAAAGCTCTATTTACACCCCTCCAGTTGCGACAAGTGTCAGGAGCGTCAACGACATGCCACAGTTACTCTGAACAAGAGAAGGGAAAACAAATGCATTTAAAATGGCCCCTTTAACAGCAAATACGGGCATCCACACACCAAAATACTCATACGTCTCAGTGGATGTGGTTCGTCAAACTGGATGGGCTGCTTGGTCTAAGGACTTTTTGGATTTGAGAATATGCATAAGTTCTGATAACATTAGATTACTACCTAATCTACAGGTCACATCTTAAATTCATCTGATTCCTGATCCATTTACTGTGCTGAAATAAAAGCAGGTCTCAATGGGTTATCAACAACAGAACAGGTGTATTTTTGGAGTCTGAAAAAGCATACAACCCGAGCAGGAAAAATGGGCTTGCGTGTGACTCAGGTGTACAAAAGCTCAACTGCTAGAAGTTTAACGTCATTGCTGTGTATTGCACAACTGTCAGAAAAACATGCTAGCCCTAATATGAAGAGCTGATAAGCTCTAAGGCATACACTTTCATAGTACAAACTACTTCTTCATTCACATCCCTTACTTTAAACATGGTCAAATAAACTCTTTAAACCTTCAGTTAATTGTAATCAAAATAATTAGCAAAATCTGAGAGTGAACTTAAAGATTATGATTGGTTTTAAGATACAGGATGCACAATGTCAATCTTGAGACATTTTTGTCTCATTTTAAAGTTTGTATCCTCAGTTGATCACCTGAAAACAATAAAAATAAATGTGCCTCCCTACCCCCGACTTCTTGCTCTCACTCTGACTCATCAAATATGTTGTTGGTCTCCAAGTGTTAAGCAACCACCCTCAATTACAGACGTCTCGCCTTATTTCTCCTTTTTATGGAAAAAAGAATCTCATTAAAAAAGGAGTCTTATTATCTGTGTCGCTGACCACCGCTGATGTCAAAAGATTTTTTAAAACACACCCATGATGCACACAGATGTAATATATATATTTTTTAAAAGGTATAGGTGCTACGGTTTACATCTCCACGATCATATCATTTTTTCCCCTCTCTACCATACTACTGAATGTTGAACGCCACAAATGGAACCTGAGGATCACTATCATGTGAGTAGCCCTCACTTATACCAGCTATAAAAAGATTAAATACAATAATAAGGCACTGTACAATCAATAAGCTAAGTAAGGTTCATGGTATTACATGTGAAAGCGTATTATATATTATTCACTACAATAAGGCAAGACTACTACTGGCTGCCTTTGATCTCAACTTGAGCAACCACTGCAGGCTTTGCTCTGGTGTCTAATCCAGTTTTCCTGAGGGCGCTTAAATCCATTATGCAGTTTGCTCATATTCAACATCACCCTGATATAACACTGGCAACAACTTTTTAAGGGCTTCTCCAGCAATCAAGACACTGGGCACCACTCACTGGTTTGTAGCTTGACAGTGTGAACGCACTGTTGTTCTCACAGTCATGCAGACATGTAAATGAACAACTGGCAGGTGATCAGATGAGACCAAGTTATAATGAACCTGGAAAGCAGACAGACAGGCAGCCTGCCAGAAAAATTAGTGATCAGTGAGTAGCAGAGAAAGTCCTGTTACATTGCACACAAAGATCTAGAGAAGGCATGTCAGCCACCAAGCCTGGGACATTTAAGAAATCACCCCAAACAAAGCGCAACGCCTTGGATGCATGATGAACTTGGTGCCACAACTCCGGCGTTACTGAACCACATTCAGTGCCGTGTTGCCTCCGTGTGCGGCTGGTCCTCTGTGTAATGCATAAGTTAGGCGACAAAGACGCAGATAAGCCAGGCAGAAGGGAAGCTTGCCGAGTAATATCCACTGTTACGCAATATCAACACTGAAAACTGAAGAATGCGATTCACGTCAATGCACTAAAAAACAAACAAACAAACAAACAAAAAAAAAAAACCCACACCAGCCGCCGACCGACGTGAGCGCTACCCGTTCTCGCACACGGCAACGATGATTTGTCAGACTGTGCTGGCCAACGCCGCTTGTAAACACAAAGCCAGTGAAAGCAACTTACGTGCAACATACATAGGATGAGCCTGGACCAATGTCACCTACCGCTACACTGCATACCTTTTCAGACAGTACGATGTCCCTTAGAGGTAAACAAACTTGCCAAGCAGACACCCTCCTCTCCTCAGAGGCGAGTTTCACTCAGTGTTGCCGTACAGCCACAGTGGACAAAAACAAAACGAGGGAGTGGCACTGCTTTCAACCATAGTTGCATAAAGCGGATTAGCATGCTAAAGCAGCTAGCTAACGCTGCTTAGGTAAAGCAATCTGTGCCCATCCTTTTACTACCATGATAACAACTCTCGATTTAGCTCCCCAGCATTTCCCCTTGTACATTTGGATCAATTAGAGACATGTCACATCGCCATTAAAACATACTGTCTTCACACTAACAATGGGTGACTCAACTTGCCCAATAAGCGGACTAAAAAAATCTGTTGATGTGACACACTGTAGAAGTTGTGACAGCAACTTTTGGTTAGCTGGAAAATAGCATCCTATTTGGCTGGCTAACTCGTAAGATAAGATATATTGAAATTAAGCTCCGTTGCAGTATATAGCGTTGGGAGAACAAATCAACACACACAGAGTAAACGTTAGCAGAACGCTAAAGTTGGTTATCAACTCACCTTGTCAAGAAAAGAAAAATGAATCCACACAGGTTGAGATGAAGTGGGGGTATGAACGGCTGCTTAATCCGGTTACTCGGAAACAGAGCAGGGCAAGGTGTCTGTGGCTAAATCACGGGCAGGCAAAGCAATCCGGGCAAATCAGAGTGCGGAATTCGCTAGCCGATAAGTTAGCAATGCTAATTCGCTAATCTAACCGCATAATTGCCCTACCCAAATACAGACGGTCATTCTGCCCAGCCCGATTATTCTCCTTAGCAATAACCGATTTTCGTCAGCAAGTGAAAATAATAAATATTTATATGAAAGCGAAGCAAAGAGCTGAGCTGGATAACGATTGACTGCCAAGCTTAAACTGTCACAACGAGCTGCAGGAAAGGCAGGCAGGGTACTGGCCAACCAGCTAGCTGCTAACGTTAGGAAGCAGCTAGCAAAGTTTCTTTACGAATAAGCAGTTCCCCAAAAATGGCGGCGGAGAGAATCACCTCCCTTCCACCGTGAAGGAACCGAGGAGATAATGAAACAAACAGGAGTCCGAGCGGCTCAGGAGCCAGCTTTAACTGAAGCGAGAGTACACGTGTGACAGTTTTGGAGGTGGGGGGGTGGGGGACTCGCCGAGGTTGTTGTCCTGCTGCACCCCGCGGGCTAAATGTTGCCCCCTCTCTCCCTCCCTACAGTTTGCTTTGCCATCCAACAACTCCAAACACAGAGGTGTGTGTGGATGGAGAAAGTAATACACATAATGACTGTCA